TTTTTTTTTGTGAAAATTGTCAAAAAGTTATTAAAAATACATGAGTGCAAAACTGTAACATATGCCTTAATTTACATTTTTGTCTGCTGGTTTCTTTAATGTTGTTGAATTGACTTCAAATCGTTATGACAGAGGAAGCAAAGATGTACCAATAAAAATACAGAACAACAGTATGAATGTCGTTAGAACTTGGAAAGATAGCGACAGCTGAAAGAAAAGGTGTTACTCCATGTTACAGTTTTGCTCGTCACTGTATGTATATCTAAACTGAGTTGCATGGTAAACAGTGGTGGTACTAAGAACTTAAGTGGTGATTTTTTGTGGTACTCAATGCTGAACCGAAATACATACATATGATATGATAGTTTTAAACTAAAGATAAAAAACATACTATGTCTATTTAGTGCCATTCCAAAAACTAGGCTTGCTCTAGAGACTGTCCGATTTACTGCTGGGCATGATCATATATGTATGTATGTATGTACATTTGTATGTTAATTTATGCAAGTCGATTTGTAAACATGTAAACTAAATGAAATCAAGTATAAAACTTTCTCCGTATGTATTGTTTATAGTGTCTGCGCGCGATCGTGTTGAGCAAGCGTCGTTTCGTCAGCTTGCGGATGAGCAACAAATTGTGCGTAAGCGAGAGCTGAGCAAGTTGGTCTTGCATAATTTGGGCAAGTAAAGATGAGCATCACTTTTATTGTTCCAATATACTGACTCGTTCGTACTTTAGATCGGCCACCCATTTGAAAGATTACATCCGATGATTTTAGTGTCATAAAAATTTCCGTTATATACTCGTATATGCATATGTAAGTATGTATCTAATAATTAAATACATATGTTCATAGATATTACTAACTACCAGCAGAAAATTTATTGTTAAATTTATATGCAAGAAAAAATGCATAAAAGTTCATAAAGAAAAACTTATGGCTAGGGTGAAATGTTTATGGTTATTTGTGACCCAACCTAATGAGCATGCATTTCGAAGTATTTTTATGCCTTATTCGTATATTTATCACCACTTAAAAACTCGTTCTCTTTTGAATTTCAAGTAGAAAGGGCCAATTACAAGGGCATTCCTTTTAAAAAATGTTTAACTTTAGATGTGTTCGAATGTACAAATGTTTTAAATGTATACATTAGCAAGTGTACATATGTACATATCTACATATTCGTATGTGCAGTTTTTGTACAATGAATTTTATGAATTGTCGTTTCCCACTTATTTGCAAATATAGTACATATGTACATATACATATGTATGTAAATATAACACACTCCCTTAAAAGTGTATTAACTCAAAAATATCCAAGAGATAGAAAAAACTAATAACTATTTTTAAGCACGTGTTATTAATTTAGTTAAGAGAGCATTTATGGAGTTTTTTCCAGCAAATTGCAATATAATACATAGGTATATATTCTATCGGGAAAAAAATAGACAAGCGACATATTGACCAGCTTTAGCAATTGTGCGTTTGTTTATTTAATGTTTATCAATCCTATGTTTATATAAAAATTTAGCCGTTTTTCCGCGTTTTTGTTACCAAATATAGCCAGCCGATTGAGCTCAAACTCGCAGGATAAGTTTGTTTTCACGCCAATTAGAAGAACAGCGCATGCCTTTTTGATAGGTGGCTGCGGTCGTCATTAATCTAAAAATTGCCGACTTGGCTAAAATTTTAAACATGTATTAGTTACATATTTTCGCAGTTTGCCACAGGGCGAAGACGAGTTCGAATCGACGTCCTTACGACGTCGCTCTGGTGAAATCATTTGGGTGCAAATGCAACGTCGTTCCGAATTCGTTTCTTCGAATCCACAAGTTTCTTGGGGAACCTTCGGCCTGGGTTGGAAAAGTTCCACGCCAACATTTTTATATATCTNTTTTCACGCCAATTAGAAGAACAGCGCATGCCTTTTTGATAGGTGGCTGCCGACTTGGCTAAAATTTTAAACATGTATTAGTCACATATTTTCGCAGTTTGCCACAGGGCGAAGACGAGTTCGAATCGACGTCCTTACGACGTCGCTCTGGTGAAATCATTTGGGTGAAAATGCAACGTCGTTCCGAATTCGTTTCTTCGCATCCACAAGTTTCTTAGGGAACCTTCGGCCTGGGTTGGACAAGTTCCACGCCAACATTTTTATATATCCNTCGCAGTTTGCCACAGGGCGAAGACGAGTTCGAATCGACGTCCTTACGACGTCGCTCTGGTGAAATCATTTGGGTGCAAATGCAACGTCGTTCCGAATTCGTTTCTTCGAATCCACAAGTTTCTTGGGGAACCTTCGGCCTGGGTTGGAAAAGTTCCACGCCAACATTTTTATATATCTAAGCATAAACAAAATTCATTCATTTGGATAGTGCACCGTTTTTATTAAGAGAATTTTTTATTATGACAGAATATGGAATCCACAATGTACACTTGTGCTCAAAAAATTAAGCCGCCTACATCTTGTTTTCAGTATTCATATAAACTTTTATAAAGGTAGGTAGATACAGTTCACTCTATTGGTCGTGTTAATAAAAAATAAATTTTTTGGTATGCATTTTTTTCAAATTTGGTATAAAACTGTACTTTTACTTTAAATTTGGTATAAATTTTGAGCATCGCTTTGCAGTTCGCTGGTATATCGTTTTCACGGCCCGCCGGCGAACTGTGCTTTTCATCGGACGGCGAGTCGTTTCTGACTCGTTCTGGTGAACAATTTGTTCGCCGGCTACGTCGTCGTTTGGCCAATTGGGTTAATAACAAAATTTGCTCGATAGATGGTGCTGGGGTTGAGATCTCGTTAAAAACGTATTTATGAGCCGATTTAGCCCAATTCCGAAATTTATTTTAGTTAAATGAAGGTAAATAGTTTATATTCAACAATTTTTATTGAGCTTGAGGCCGTTTTTAATGAAAAACGTATTGCGGAAAAGCAACAATAATTTGAAAAAATGGTAGAAGTGATAGCTATTTCGGAAATCACCACATTTCCTCATCAGACTTCTTTCAGTAGGACTCGAACCGAAGATCCCACTGGCTCAGCCAGTTGCCTACGCACTGTGCTAAATTCGCCTTGTGAATAACAAAAAACAAGTAAATATTTTCCAGTCGAAATTTTCCAGTTAAAATAGGACATAGTGAAAACCAGTCTTAAGCATTCAAATAGCATTCGCAGGGGACTTTTCAATAAAACATTTTATTTTTTTCGAGTTAGATTTTCAAGGTTGCAGTAATTCGCATAAAGCTGAAAATTGGTACGAATGTTACGAACGTCATTATAAATGAAATGTAAAAAGTTCTTAACGGGGTTAGGTCGCCGAAACAACAGCCCTTGGTCGGGTAAAACCCGAGTCATTCCGGTACGTAGAACCGAATGATACTCATATGGTCTTTAGTTGTGTCTCACTTTAATTGATTTAGGTACTCAAAAAAATATAACTTTTAAGTACTTAGTTTTGTTAAAAATGTTTGGATATTTCTGAGCTCGCGGTCTCTTGGGCCGGGATCTCCGATCGCGGGTTCGTGGCACTTTGGCAGCCATGCCGCCCTATAGTTACGCCTCTGAGCACCACATAAATCTACATTTCAAACTTCGTAGAGAAATTATAAAAAATTAACAAACTTTAACCGAAAAATTGTAAAATTTTTATTCAGAATTTTTAGAAAAATTTTAGGTATGCAGTTTTATAGCCCATTAAATTTTACTTAGTACTTAGCAAATAAAATTAAAAAAATTAGAGCAACGCGATTTCCTAGCGCTTTGAATTTGTACGTCTAACATGATAAAATTGAATGGGCTATAAGACTACATACCTAAAATTAAAAAAAAAAAATCTGAATAAAAAATTTACAATTTTTGGGTGTAACTGTTAAAGTTTGTTGAATTTTTATAATTTTTGTACGAAGTTTGAAATGCGTATTTATGGGATACTGTAGTAGTTATGTAATGTGCTGGACTTTTATAAACAAATTATAATTATTAAATAAATAAAGGAAAAATGTCCAAAACCGGTCAAAATGTCACTTAACTTAATCAGGTGACCACAACTGTATACATATTTATGTATATGCAGTGCTGTCTGCTTTACGTATAACCAAAATTTTTTACGGTCAGCCTAATTTGTTATGCTTTAAAACAAAAAATAGAAACTGCAGAACTCGTTTTTTTCTTAGAATTACATTAAATTGTTTAGATACAGATGTATAAATCGATGGTCCTCTGCAATAGCAACACAGTTCGAAATTCAAAGAATAAAATCTCTTACTACTGTTAAGTGGCTAACGTATATAGTCCCTGTATAATCCATGAATAATCCTTACTAAAGTAAATACTACGGATTAGAAATGAATTAGACGAGGATTAGAGACATGAGCAATTTAACAGTAATAAGTGCTTATTTTTCCAAATTTGTGTCGTTATTACAGAGAACTATACACTGTATTTGCAGCCACACACCCAATTTGATTAAAAGTTAGAAAAAACAAATTTTGGAATTTCATTGTTTACCTTTTAAATTCCGTAATTTATTTTTGTTGCCAGCCAAGTGATGAATCGGCGTATATTTTCTTTTCTATTATATAGTATACAGTAAAAGAACCACAGAGACTAAGAGGCGCGATGATGAAGCGAGAAATTACTTAAAATCACATAAAAATATTTTCCGCGTGACCGTTGGATCATTCGCAAATTAAAAAAAGAAACACAACAGTTTGTACAAAAATCTGAACCACACTCGGAGAAATCGTCTATAAGACTGACTTCAAATCGTTTACGAGTTGCAAACATACATATGCTTTTGGCAGCGAGCGCGATAAGTGATTTTCTAGAGCTAGTGTTGTTGTACTTAAATGCATGGTATGTGTACTTGTTGTTTTTGAGCTTGTTTTACATATTTGTTATTTTGGGTTAATGTATATGCGGTCAATGCGTTTGTTAAACACCTATTGTACATTTTTTTTTGCAAACAACAATATGTACAATCATGATACCGATCGTAGTTCTGCATACCTTTAGCCGATTTCTAATGCACTACTATCGCCACTTGACAATCCCTGACCCTGCGCTTGCTTATCGTTAACGATCCAGGGCGCAGTGACTTGTATGCTCTTTGCATTTAAAATTATGCCTGTAATGTTTTGTATTTTTGTTATTGTAGTCGTAATGGCATGAACGCCACTGTGTAGTATGTAGGTGTATCGCTTTTGAATCTGAATTGCTTGCAGAATTTTTGTCATCAATTTGTTTAGAACGAGATTAAATGCCTGGCACTTTTTCGCTTTTGATAAGCTTATTTGAGGAGTTGTTGCTGCCTCGGAACTGAAATATGTACATATGCAAATATGCACTTGCTTGTAAACATTCATTCACATTTACATGTCGACAGTCTTAATAACTTTTGCTTCAATGGGTTCAAAGTTTACTTATTTTGCATGCAACAGCACACCGTAGTAGTGAACTAAATACTTTAATGAGCAATCACATTTGTAGCTTTTATTTGCAAGCAAGAAATTAAATTTGCCCACTGCGGTTACGTACGCTTGTATTTTTGCTTGTTACACATTTGCTTAGGAATTACCTTTTTGTGTAAAATTCATCGGAATGCTTATAAATATTTATAAGTTTGTTTTAAAATAGTAAGAACGGATATGTATGTATGTATGTAGATACATGAATGCATAAACAAAATAAAAATACTAGCTTGACCCGTACGCGCCCGTTGTATGCATCGATTACAATCTGAGCTATTTTGATAAAAAAAAATAAGTAATAAGAATAAGACACGTAATTCTACACTACTAAAGTATTTTAAACTGTAAATTTTTGTTAATTACTGTTATTCTAATTTTTCATTCAAATTGATTAGAATTATGTATTTTGAAATCAATAAATTAGTGAATGCACAAGTACTTGCCGACTTAAAGCTTAAACAGACGGCAGCGTTGATCCGGACTAACTCGGACTTAATCCGGATCAACTGCAGTTAATTCCCCAGTTGATCCGGATCAACGCTGCCGTCTGCTGCTTTTAGAGTCTAATACAGCACAACACCAAGGCAAGCTCTGAAATTGTGGGAGAACATCCGCAAGCCTACAGAAAAAAATGTGCAAACAAGAAACACAGACATATCTTATTTTTTAGTTGTGGCTTGAATATTAAATGTTTACAATACATATTATGAGAGAGGCAGACAGTTCCATAACTTGAGGATTTTATCCCTCCTACCCTTACTTTGCGAGGAGCATAATGTGGTGGCGTGATAAGAACTGGCTGATTGCAAGCAGACTTTTCTGAAAAAACTAAAAATGGAATTAACTGTATGGGTGACCGGCTCAGAGAAAGTTTAAATTGTAATCCGAAAATACTTGCAATTAAAATCACATGAACTGCAATCAACTCTAAACAAAACTACATACATATGTAAGTAAAAAATACAAATGAAATTAACAAGACGATCTCTGTATGTTTGGTACATGTAGAAGACTTCTTATTTTATAGGGAAAATATTTTTAAGCATGAATTACATTTATCGCTCATTTACTACATAGGTCACAACTGAAAAAACAGGTTTCTACTAATTGACTCTCATTATGAAACAACAATGAAAACAACACAAGCCATTAAAATTAAATTTTTTTGCACAATGTGAACGATACCATAACGAATAACTCTGAATACTTATGTAAATAATTTGGTTGTTATATTAAGTAAATAAGCGTTATGTACTTATATACATACATATGTAGGTATTTGGCGTTCAAATGAAACGATAAAAAATGATTTACAATGAAGGACGTGTTTTTGTATTAAAAAACATCTGTTTTATTGTTTATAAATTAATAACGGGGAAACTTTCCATTATGTCCGTTCGTTAAAGGTGCGGTGGGCGAAGGGGGAGTATGCGTGGCATCTCCAACCGACCTTTTTGGAGAGGGCATGAACCCCCATTGACAAAAATGCAACCCCCGACCACCTAGGCCCCCTATGGTTCCCTACGGACCCCTTTGGAAAATGGCCAAAAATCGCATTTTTACTTGCGTCCACAGTATTTTTGCGAAGAATTCCTTTCTGCGTAGGCGGCCTTCGGCCGCGCTTAGGGATTATAGCCCTTACTACGTAGAATTCTCCTTTCTGTGTGACCTAACTGGGGCTACCGCCCCAGTGATGTAATCTTGGGAAAGGATGAGGTAACTAGAATTCCCTTTCTGTGTGATAAACCTGGTGCTGTCGCCCCAGTGATGTCTATTTTGATTACTGGGTGTTTTATAAAAATGTCTTGTATATAAAAATGTGTATATAAAAATGTATTGTGCAAATGAATATTTAACATTTTTCAAGCGAATAAACGCAAATAAAAATTGTGATTTTTGGCAATTTTTCTAAGGGGTCCCTAGGGAACCATAGGGGACCTAGGTGGTCGGGGGTTGCATTTTTGTCAATGGCGATTTATTCCCTCTCCAAAAAGGTGGGTTAGAGGTGCCACGCCCACTTACCTTTCACCCACCGCCCCTTTAACGAACGGCCATAAAGGAAAGCCAACCCTTAATAACAGTACCTACATACTTATCTACATCTGTTTCACGAAATTAAAAAATAATACACGTTTCTCGATACTGCATCATGAAAAACTTTGTACCTAGTACCTGTCTAGTATCTAGTAGCGCACATTAAAGTGCGCGCTGTTGTTGCTGGTACATATGTATGCACTTACGGATGTATGTACATACCTATGCACAGCTTTGGCACTCATTATTCTTTGAAATTTCGTAACTATTTCTTGGCGTTTCATGTGAACTGATTAGCAAAAGTTAATTAGAAAATCATCAAATTATCAATGAAAAGTACAACTACAGCAGCTCGGCAAATGTACCTTACTTTTAGAAGCATCTAATATTCATGTATTTCTTTATGAATGCTTGAAAAGGATGAGTATTTTTTAGAATCACGTTTGTCGGCGTCGAGCATATTTACATACATATATGAATATGTGCATACATGCATATGTAACACCTTTAATAAATTATCATTAGCTATTACATCAGCGGCCGCCTAATTATATTTTATACTTGTTTTCGGCTAATACTTTCCCCGTTCCTGTGACGAAATTAATTGGAAAATATGTGGTATGTGTATAAAAAGAAACTTTCACCCAATATGACCCAAACAACACCCTTTGAATTTCTTACCTTGTGCTTTACGGACGTAACCACTGGCTCTGCCCGTGTATAAAACAGTATTCTTTATTTTTAATAGCTTTATAAGTACAAAAAGACTAATGCAGTTAATTTTATTCAATAAGAAGGAATTGTATTCCTCTCACTCCTATTGGATTTACTTTCTTGCCACTGTCGTGTTGCGAACGAAAAGCTGTTTTTGACAATTCTTTTTCGCTGCGGTAACAGCTGATTCAGTTGCAGTGGCAGCCAAACTATAGGCAGATTCCAAATCGCCGGCGCCCCTAACCGATTCCCATTAGCTCTGATCCAGTACTACAAGAACTTACAGGTTTTTCACGAACTTACAGGAAAAATGTTCCCGTACTCCGAATTCCTCCAAAAATGAGAGTGTAGAGAATGAAATTGCAAGATTTTACTTGAGCTTTTTCTTCTGGTTAAATTATGAAAAGTTTCAAGCGATCACTGGTTGACGGTTTTACAGGAAAAAAGCTTTTTTCCCCGTACTTTTTGTTGTTACTCACTTTTTACTCTCACTTCAGAGAGTAATTTTGCTGTTTGACATTTTTACAGGATTNTAATTATATTTTATACTTGTTTTCGGCTAATACTTTCCCCGTTCCTGTGACGAAATTAATTGGAAAATATGTGGTATGTGTATAAAAAGAAACTTTCACCCAATATGACCCAAACACCACCCTTTGAATTTCTTACCTTGTGCTTTACGGACGTAACCACTGGCTCTGCCCGTGTATAAAACAGTATTATTTATTTTTAATAGCTTTATAAGTACAAAAAGACTAATGCAGTTAATTTTATTCAATAAGAAGGAATTGTATTCCTCTCACTCCTATTGGATTTACTTTCTTGCCACTGTCGTGTTGCGAACGAAAAGCTGTTTTTGACAATTCTTTTTCGCTGCGGTAACAGCTGATTCAGTTGCAGTGGCAGCCAAACTATAGGCAGATTCCAAATCGCCGGCGCCCCTAACCGATTCCCATTAGCTCTGATCCAGTACTCCAAGAACTTACAGGTTTTTACACGAACTTACAGGAAAAATGTTCCCGTACTCCGAATTCCTCCAAAATCCTGTAAATGAGAGTGTAGATTATGAAATTGCAAGATTTTACTTGAGCTTTTTCTTCTGGTTAAATTATGAAAAGTGTCAAGCGATCACTGGTTGACGGTTTTACAGGAAAAAAGCTTTTTTCCCCGTACTTTTTGTTGTTACTCACTTTTTACTCTCACTTCAGAGAGTAATTTTGCTGTTTGACATTTTTACAGGATTCTACACGAAAAGTATTGCATCAGAGCTGTTGATTCCGATAGTGTATTTTCGTCACAATAGCAAAGAAGGTAAATCTTACGTTCTTTGGCAATATGGATCGCGATCCAAATATCGTCATAATTACTAACCGTGTGACAGGGACCATTGAATCATGGTGTATTTGGTATTCCATTTTGATCCCAAACCGATTGGAAAATAGACAGTTTTAGTGGCACTCCGTAAGCGCGCTTTATCTTTCTTTGACATTTGCAATCAGCTGTTGGACTTTTACCATTCGCTGTGATTCCAATTAGCCAGCGCATGTCGATTAGAAAATTAACTAATTGTTTATTACGTTTGTTTTTTAAATAAAAATGTTAAAATCACTTCTTCGCTTAGCTCCTACGCGTAGTGTCCTGTGTCCAAATCTTCAGGTATTAAGATCTGGGAATCAGAGCTTGCTAACTGTCAGTGCATCGCTGTTATCGAAAACGTCGCGTAACTGCGCAAAGGTAGCCACAGAAGAGAATGCTGAAAATGAGACCCAGCCTCCCAAAACCCATTATAATCCCTTCGCTCAGGATAATCTAGCCTCAAATATGGACAAAAACACAAACTCTGCGCCGACTGCCAGTGAAGAAGAACGCTCTAAACTGTTGAAGGTCCTACAACTAGAAGTGGACATTGCTCATCAAGAGGGCCGACGTGTACCGGCATTAGAGTCAGTCACAGACGAAAACTGGGCATTTATACTGACACTGCCTTCAAAGTCGNGTAGAGAATGAAATTGCAAGATTTTACTTGAGCTTTTTCTTCTGGTTAAATTATGAAAAGTTTCAAGCGATCACTGGTTGACGGTTTTACAGGAAAAAAGCTTTTTTCCCCGTACTTTTTGTTGTTACTCACTTTTTACTCTCACTTCAGAGAGTAATTTTGCTGTTTGACATTTTTACAGGATTTTACACGAAAAGTATTGCATCAGAGCTGTTGATTCCGATAGTGTATTTTCGTCACAATAGCAAAGAAGGTAAATCTTACGTTCTTTGGCAATATGGATCGCGATCCAAATATCGTCATAATTACTAAAGAGCGGTTTGTCAAACCTTCAAACACCCCCATACACAGCACAAATGGCTTGAAGCAAAGGGAAATTTCGCTTGGTTTGTCAAACCGCTTGTGTGGTGTATTTCGCTCTTAACCGTGTGACAGGGACCATTGAATCATGGTGTATTTGGTATTCCATTTTGATCCCAAACCGATTGGAAAATAGACAGTTTTAGTGGCACTCCGTAAGCGCGCTTTATCTTTCTTTGACATTTGCAATCAGCTGTTGGACTTTTACCATTCGCTGTGAATCCAATTAGCCAGCGCATGTCGATTAGAAAATTAACTAATTGTTTATTACGTTTGTTTTTTTAAATAAAAATGTTAAAATCACTTATTCGCTTAGCTCCTACGCGTAGTGTCCTGTGTCCAAATCTTCAGGTATTAAGATCTGGGAATCAGAGCTTGCTAACTGTCAGTGCATCGCTGTTATCGAAAACGTCGCGTAACTGCGCAAAGGTAGCCACAGAAGAGAATGCTGAAAATGAGACCCAGCCTCCCAAAACCCATTATAATCCCTTCGCTCAGGATAATCTAGCCTCAAATATGGACAAAAACACAAACTCTGCGCCGACTGCCAGTGAAGAAGAACGCTCTANTTGATCCCAAACCGATTGGAAAATAGACAGTTTTAGTGGCACTCCGTAAGCGCGCTTTATCTTTCTTTGACATTTGCAATCAGCTGTTGGACTTTTACCATTCGCTGTGAATCCAATTAGCCAGCGCATGTCGATTAGAAAATTAACTAATTGTTTATTACGTTTGTTTTTTAAATAAAAATGTTAAAATCACTTCTTCGCTTAGCTCCTACGCGTAGTGTCCTGTGTCCAAATCTTCAGGTATTAAGATCTGGGAATCAGAGCTTGCTAACTGTCAGTGCATCGCTGTTATCGAAAACGTCGCGTAACTGCGCAAAGGTAGCCACAGAAGAGAATGCTGAAAATGAGACCCAGCCTCCCAAAACCCATTATAATCCCTTCGCTCAGGATAATCTAGCCTCAAATATGGACAAAAACACAAACTCTGCGCCGACTGCCAGTGAAGAAGAACGCTCTAAACTGTTGAAGGTCCTACAACTAGAAGTGGACATTGCTCATCAAGAGGGCCGACGTGTACCGGCATTAGAGTCAGTCACAGACGAAAACTGGGCATTTATACTGACACTGCCTTCAAAGTCGGCCCGTTACAAGTACTATACATACTTGTGGCAAATCGAAGCAAAAAAGCAGGCTAAGGAGCGTAAAAAGGAAGAACGAGCGTTGCAAGTGCTGGAGCGCAAGGAAGAAATGCGCAAAGAACGCGAAGCAAATCCGCACATCATTTATGGCTTGGGTCACACGTCGATTTTCCTACGAATCTACGATTCGGCTATCAACGACTTTATGAACAACAGGTGAATAAGGTTATTCATAATTATTATTTCCAAAAGCGTGGGTTTGTAAATGGCTCTGCTGAATATTTCTTGCTCCTCTTTACAGATTATCACGCGCTATGCAATTTTCGCCTAAAATTGTGCTAGACTGCTCATATGATAGACACATGACCCGCCGAGAATCACTGAACGCAGCCAAACAATTGATGTTATGCTTTGCTGAGAATCGCGCGCATGATGACCCTTTCGATTTGCACTACTGTAACGTTAATTTAGATAGCGTGTCCATTAAGGCCTTGAAACGTTATATACCTACCATGCTGAATCCGGAATTTCCCATGAATGTGCATGAAAAATGTTTCACTGAGCTGTTTCCCAAGGAAAATCTTGTCTATCTAACGCCGCATTGCCGCACAGATTTAGAAGTGTATAATCCCGATGATGTGTATATAGTTGGTGCGATGGTAGACACAGTGAGTATACAGTATCTAAATAAATTAAACAAATACTTAATAACTCCTGTTCGTGTCTCAGGTCAATAATGAACCGCTGTCCTTAGGCAAAGCCAAACGTTTAGGCATACGAATGGCCCGGCTACCGCTCGACCGTTACCTACAATGGGGTGCGGGTTCAGGGAAATCTTTGACACTTAATCACATGGTAAACATTTTGTTGGACCTGAAAAGTACCAAAGATTGGGCACAAGCATTAAAACATGTGCCTCGCCGCAAAGTGGTCGATATGGCCGCAGATGCGCAGCGACAGAGGCGTACATTGGAAAATCGCGCGAACAAACTAAACTTTCGTTTAGATGATATTTTAGATGAAAATCATAGAAATGAATGCAATGTGCGTAAATCAAACGTGAGAACGCCTAAGAAAAAAACCGAATTCAATTTGGAAACGTGGGGTTCCAAAAAGTAAAGTAAAAATACGAACTAGTTGTCTATTGTAAGTTTTTAGTTTCACAATATAATATAAGTTGTTAAAAATATGATTATGCATTTGAAAACATGGTTAATTGAGGGCAAGTTACGATACATGCAGAAGCAATACATATGCAAATACATACATATGTTAATTAATTATTTTCCACATTCATCCGCTCAACTTTATTGATCTTCTTGTATTTTAAAATACTGTTTTTTGAATTCAAGGCATTGTAATTAATCACCGGCGTTAAGTTAATAAGCTTCGCATACGCTTTCAACTTATCTTCGAACTGCTTGACCTCCTCCTTGCGCGCTACAGTCAATAGTTTACTCTCCCAAATAAGCAACGCATTATCCCGCAGCACTTCTGAGAAAGCGCTTTTCAGAAATGGAAAATAATTATATCCCACAAAGACCACATCAAAAAAGTCATGCCAGCTTTCATTGGCATCAGCATTTTGCAGCGTAAAAATATCATCTACTGGGAGAAAGAAAATCTTGCACTGCTCCACGTTAATCCAAGGCTTATCAAAGTCTTGTATTGCATCTAAATCGCTTTCGTTATAGGAAAGACGTTCGCCCATTAGCAGCTTGACGGATCCGTATTTGCGAGAAATTTTACGATCATGAACATAGGCCGAACGTGTTTGTAACTCATGGAAATATTCTAATAGATTGCGCTCAGTAATATCTGTTGCACGATAGTCATTATCGCCATGTACTGAATTCAACATTTCCTTATCGACGGTGTTGAGACCGAATGTGCAAAAAGGTCCGGTTTGGATATCGCCTGCATAACCACGATGCCCATATTTTTCGCCGTTACGCACCAATCCAGCAGTGAGTGTTTTATTCGGTTTACATTGCTCGTATTCGGGGTATGTAAAAGCGATGCCAGTTTCGCGCCAGTAACGGTATTCCTGAAGTAAAATGAGGTTTCAAAATGTAATTATATTTGACGGTATTCATGCAATCACCTGCGAGCATATTTGCCCAGCTTCCCTATCCTTTAACACCATATTCAAATCCCAATCGAATGCGCCCTCTCGGTAATCATAGCGTGCACCTAACAATTTGCGTACTCGTTCCATCCAATATTCTTGCACATTGAAAGCAAAACCTTCGCGGGGCAAGAGAAAATTGAATGCATTATCCAATCCATCACGTTCACGATATCTTAAACGATCAATATTCAGTTGGGGTGCCAACTTCTGCAGCTCATCATCATCTGTAATCAATTTCACCATTGTTTTCGCTTTGCCTACCAGATATTGATGTGAGGATGGGCGCATCAGTGCGTTTCCATACACATCCATGAAGAGATGTACCTTACGTACTAAGTGGAAGCCTTCGGAATTCTCGAGTGCTATGCCAAGTAGTAGCATATTGCGTGCCACAATTTCTATACAACCATCAAGCACATAGAAAGTGACCTTTCCACCGCTGTGTTTGTACATTTTGGCCATAGTTTTGATTATGTGGCGCGGATCACCGGCACCAAACAGTAGTATATTAAGATTTTTATCCGCCGAGGCCAATCCGCCAACATCGCCACCTTCTGGTTCCGCTTCCACTGTACATTCGTCGGTATTTGTAGATTCCAAATTCGTAAAATTTTCCTCTTTTGATTGAGCATCTTTAGAATTTCCGGAGTTTTTCACGCTGCTGGCAACAGGCTCGTGGATTTTATGCGCATTGAAGTATTCCTGGTAGAGATCCAGCGCTTCACTAAGACCCCAAAACATTTTCGATTCTTACGCAAGCCGAGTAAAGTCGTTCCTTATTTAATTTAATTTATTTTAATTCTAGATGCCCTAGATGCCTATTTTCGTCGATTTATAAATACAAATAGAATTATTTTTTTATGACAAATTTTTTATTGTTGCTATGGGGTGTTTAACACGTAGCTAAGCAATTTTCATCAATGTGCTTTTGCACGTACGGGGTGTCCTAGACCACCAGTTAATGGGATTGTGTGTGTATGTGTGTGTGTGTGTATGTGCGGTTGCGGCTGTTGCAACTTATTAAAAATTATTGCATTCGCCGAAAAGTACATAAAAATATTGAACATAAAAGAAATCGGCATCCTTTGCAGTTTTTCGCTGTCGCTACGCCAGAATGGTGCAACACCGAAACAGCCACCGCCTTAGCCACAGCCGCAGCCTCTGCAGCAACAGCAAACAATAAGTAGACAGGAGCAGGAGTAGCACCAACATCAATTGCATTGCGATGAAAAGCAAGAAAGCGAAAATTAAATGCATGCATTTCTATATACATACATATGTATGCAATGTTGTTGCGGCTGTGGCAGCAGTAACGAATTAAATCCGATTGAATGCACTTTGCAATAAATCTGCCACTCAGTGTCGTATGAGTCGCATACGTCAATCGAATTGCGTTGTTGTGACCATGAACTGCTTAAAAGTACCTCGCACTGCACTGAATTTTGAAAAGTTTTATGGATTCGTTATTAATAGAAGTAAGTATTTATGAATGCAGGCCTGTACCAGACATGTACTTATGACTTAAGCGGAACTTTAATAACGAAACTAATCCATGCAATTTTTTCATTCTGCCGTTATACTAGATCGCTTAATTGCATATTTAAAGTCCTCGGATATCGAATATCTTTTGCGCCCTGGTAAAACGTTTACGTTATGAATTTTTAAGGTGTCCGGCTTGGGAAGTATGTAATGGCCCGAGCACCCCCTGCCCCTACCTGGCTACGCCCATGATAGCATATATTGTGAATGAGAAAACGAATGCGAATGTTAAAATTAATGCGGAAGCTCTGCGGTTGCGAATGCGATTACGAATATTCGCAACATCCCCGGTATGCACCCACTAGAGATATTAATTTTTTCGCTTTTTACGATCCCGGGATTTTCGGGATGTCATTATCACAATCCCGGTATCCCGGGATTAGTCCCATTCATTACTTTTCAACAACTTAAATCGAAAAAATTGCTTCTTTATTGTTTGAGAAGCTCTCCTACCATAAAATAAATTATAAGTAAATGGGTTTGAATCCTACTTTTTTATTAAAAGTGGCATTTTCATTTTTTTTTTTCTCTGACATCAGGATTTATTTTAAAGGACTTTGTAATTTCTAAGATATGATTAGTTCCAAAAATTATTTAAAAAATTCAATGCAATGTAGAATAAAAATATGGGTATCAAATTCAAGTGGAAATTTCTTTAGAGTTTAAAAAATTTAAAATTTTTTGGATTCACAAGGACGAATATTTAATTTTTTAAGCTGATAATGTTAGAAGGAAGAAATTCCTTAACATATAATTTTTCCAAAAACAAATATTGCCAAATTTCATGGATAAAATTTTAAAGGGATATTTTCAATACTTATCAGTACTTATGCACCAAAAAATTGAATCTGTTTAAATTCTACAAAATTTCCTATTTAATTTGATACCCATACTTCTCTAAGCACTGACGTCAGAGTGAAAAACTAAAAACGCAATTTTACTATATTGGCCTTGGTTTCTCCCCAAGAAGAATAGCAATAACTATGTATCAGGGTGGTTGCAAATATTCGTACTCGCATTCGCAACCGCGGAACTTTCGCATTAATTTTAACATTTACATTCGCTTTCGCATTCGCAATAATCTATGCGGATCTTTTGCGAATGCGAATATTGAAGGATTCGCATTCGCATTCGCAACCGCGGAACTTCCGCATTAATTTTAACATTCACATTCGCTTTCGCATTCGCAATAATCTATGCGGATCTTTTGCGAATGCGAATATTGAAGGGACCGAAAATAAGAGTTATATTTTTACGAATTAAACTTGGCCAAATATTTTTTATTCCGAAATAAAAGCCCTTTCCGGATAATAAACAAACCGCTTATCCAAATTATACAAGTTTGGTATCAAATGAAATAGGACTTAAATGCTTTAAAACTGAAATGTCTACATCCGCATTCGCATCCGCATCCGCGCATGTTAGCTTTTAAACATCCGCATCCGCATTCTCATCTGCGGATGTTTAAATTTCCACATTCGGAACATCCCTACTATGTATGTCCATTAGAGTGGTCCAAAAAAATTTTTCCCCCGATAGGGTTTGGGACACCTTCCAAAATTTTTCCTCTTGCCGAAAGGGGTGCTAATACCAAACCTCACGTTTCTAAGTATCCATTTAGAGGATGCTCGTGATGCTCGTATTTTACTCTAGAAGTATTCCAATTTAAATTATCTATTAAAATATCACAAGCTTCAGTTGTCCTGGCAACAAATCACTAATATTTTTGCCAGTTTGGCAGTCCAGATCCAGTAGCGCATTTCAAGGTCATTGAGCCCCCTGTATTGGTTGCCGTAGAAAACTCAAAGTTGGCATTGATATTACAAAATTTCAAAAGGAAGAAAACTAAGGGAGTGCCCCGTTTTCTAGGATGTAATTTTATTTTCCCATACAAAAATTGGATCACGTATGTATGTATTCAAATGGCAATATTTTGAATATACAGAAGTATAACATATTAGGGCTGCTCAGGATGTTGTGGAAATGATCTTGGATTTACAGTTGGAATTGCATTTGCAAATTTTATGCTTGCTGCCATGGCAACCGTGTACATTTTATTGTTGTGAATTTACAAATGCAACAAATATGCAAATTCAAGAGCATATGCACAAGATCCTGAACAGCCCTAATATGTTCTATGTACATAGATATTTATGTATCTTCAACTGCATGCAGACATCCTTTCATACACAAACAAATATACTTTGTTACATTCATTTAATTTATTGCCTTGAAGTTTTATGCTTTTCTACTCTCTGTCAAGTAGTGACTATCATGTAAATTATTGGAAAATTTCTGTCTCTCAACATGCCTCGACAAAGCCAAGTTGAGGTGACTTGCTGATTTCGCTGTCGAACATAAATACCTAACTGGTAGCGAATCAGCGAATTGTTAATTTTGAATAGGGTGTTCCAATTTGGAATAGGGAGCCCATGAAGTTTTCCACGAATTTTCTCAGAAATGGTATAGAATTCTTGAAAATCAATATTTTCGATCGGAAGCTCTGTTTCTCCTTAGGA